CACCCGATACCGTGTCCTGGGCTGGCCAGGAAGCCCTAGGCCTTCGCTCTCGCTGGTGTCTCCGTCCAACGCCTTCACCCCCATCTTTGCTTTGTAAGACCCAGCTTAGATTCCGCGTCCTCCATACAACCTTACAGCTCTTCCCCTCTCCCCTTATCAGGAGCATTTTTCCAACTTCCATGTTCCCATCACAGTTTCTTTGTCTTCAATGAGAGCACTTCTTTCACTGTATTCAGATCAGTTGTGTCTCTTCTTAACTGAGATGTCAGTGTACGAAGGAGAAAGGTCCATGACTTCGGCACCTTGTAGCTTTTGCCATCCCTAGGACAGTACTCCGAACTGTTGTATTGCATCCCGTTCTTAAAAACTTGTAAAGCTGTGCAACCTCCCAGCGCTCATGCTCTCTGCTGGAGGAGAGTCTGTTGGGTGCTGAGCTTCCCACGGCTCTGCCTGTCTCAGCCCCCAGCATCTGGGCCGATTCAGCCACTTCCAGAGGCTTCCAAACTTCTGGCTGTTTGGCATCATCTAAACACAGAAACCAAGGGGATGCTGGTCCCCGCCCCCCCCCCCCCCCTTATATTCACAGTATCACGAGATTTTAGAGCCAGGAGGAACCTGATAGAGTAAACTCAAACTACAGAGAAGAGAACTGTGAACCCAAACTAAGTGCCTGCGCCCAAGCCACTTGGGGGTGAGTGACCCAGGTGTGCGGGGAGCCAGTGACAGCTCTACACGGTTCTGCCCTGGCTGATGGCTCATTGGTTGGTACATCATCCCGTACAACAAAAGATTTCAGGTTTGATTCCCGGTCAGTGTGGGAGGCAGTCGATCGGTGTTTCTCTCCCTAGCACTGTCTATAAAGAAAAAATAATTCAATAAAAACATCTCCTTGGGTGAGGATTTAAAAAAGAAATATCTCTCCATGGCCCTGTGTACTGAGCCTTCCTGCCCAAACAGGAACTTGGGTTCCACGTGAGATGTCCCAGTCAGCTGGTGCTTTCTGCCCTGTGTTGCGATTGGCTGGCTTTCCGTATGTAAACACTGTCCGGTGACAAAAGTCCCATGAATACTCTTTGCTAAAAGGTACTATCACGGGGGTAGAATTGACAGAAGTGGACTGGGAGCTGACCTGGGGGTGGGGGTGGACTGGGAGCCATGCTAGCAGGTCATGAGGCATCGCCTGGCTGACGTTATGGCAGCTGCTGAATTCAGTCAAGTTCAGACCCTTAAAAAGAGTGGAAAAAAGAAAGCACATACTTTCCAGGGCCCGGGCACCGCACAGCGGGGCCAGCTGGGTGCAGCGCCGTGGCAAAGGGATCTCTTCAGTCTCAGAAATATGAGCCTGAGCTTGCACACGAGGAGGGGAGTGTGGCTGCAACTGGACCTGATTGGCATTAAGGTTTCTGGGCTCATGGTGCCCGCAGTTCTATTAGACTCAGCTCCTATGGGAAGCCCATGAGTATCTAAGGAAAGAACCAGCCCTCCGAGTGTGTGTGTGTGTGTGTGTGTGTGTGTGTAAAGGCATTGGAGGTCAGCAGGCTTTGGAAGGGGAACTCTTGGTTTTCTGTATGATTGTGTACTTCCTCTTGTCTAGAGTTAGCCAGTTAAGGAAATAAAGCGCAATTCGGGTTTCCAAGTTGGAAGCCTGATTAATCTCTCTGCCAGTTACATATGGAAATAAATCAGTAAATGGTCCATCTGGGACGACACTACTGCAGAGATGATAAATTATCGCCATCGTATACGTCTGTGTTGTTGAAGTCTGAGCTGTGCTCCCCAGGCGCGGCTGAAAGATAACTGGATCCCCCATCGTGGTCAGAGGAATGAAATTAAAAACAAAATCACAAGTAAAAAAATCGCCGTGAAGCGTTTCATGGGAGAGTGCTTTGGTTGATGCCAAGTTTGCTCCTTAGAAGTGCTGTATCTGCAAATATTTAAAAGGAGTCTCAAGGGCATAAGAAACATTTTATTTCTATATTTTCAAAGGCCAAACACAGTATCAAGTGTTAATTAGTACCCAAATGTCCCAAGGAGTGGGATAATTCTATACTTCTGTGCCGTATTGCAACTTTATCATTTTCACAGCAACTTCATGTGTATTTTCTTATTTAAATTTCAAAGAAGTTGGGGCAAGCCAGTGCCTGTTTCTTTTCTTTTTTTAAATATATTTTATTGATTTTTTTTTTTATAGAGAGGAAGGGAGAGGGATAGAGAGTTAGAAACATCGATCAGCTGCCTCCTGCACACCCCCACTGGGGATGTGCCCACAACCAAGGTACATGCCCTTGACCAGAATCGAACCTGGACCCTTCAGTCTGCAGGCCGACGCTCTATCCACTGAGCCAAGCCGGTTAGGGCCAGTGCCTCTGTTTCTTGATTGAGGAAACACTGAGGTTTAGGGGGTTGAATGCCTTGCCCATAATGACTCAATGGCCAGATGGCAGAGCTGGGATGAGCGACCAGATATCACCAATACTGAATCCAGCTTCGTTTCCATCAGAGCCTTGTGTGACATCACACACATTTTCAGTATCCCATCATTCCATTTGGCAGCATCAGGAAAGAAAGCATTCTATTTATGTTAGTTTTCTAGAAGCAAATACCATACCTTCTTTTTAAAAAAATTTCTTTATATTGATTTCAGAGAGGAAGTGAGAGGGAGAGAGAGATAGAAACATCAAGGATGAGATAGAATCATCGATTGGCTGCCTCCTGCATGCCCCACACTGGGGATGGAGCCCGCAACCCTGAATGGGATTTTAACCGTGACCTCCTGGTTCATAGGTCAGTGCTCAACCAGTGAGTCATGCCGGCTGGACAAGCCATACCTTCTGGATCATGAAAATTATTTTTCTCTACTTGGAGATCTTGAGTATCGGTTTAACATTTTTAACATGATTTCAATATTTTTAAATTGAGGTATAATTGACATATGACATATATTAGTTTCTGGTGTACGACATAATGATCTGATATTTGTATATAGTGCGAGATGATCATAATAAGTCTAGTTAATATTCATTACCTTACATAGTTACAACATTTTTGTACGTGCTGAGAACTTTTAAGATCTACCCTCTTAGCAACTTTCGAATATGCGATAGAATATTATTAATTGTTGTCATCGTGCTGTACGTTACATCCCCTTGACTTATTTATAACTGGAAGTCTGTACCTTTGGACTGCCCTCATCCATTTCTCCTCTCCAATCGTGTAACTTTTCCCTGTGACTAAGGCACACCACTGTTCCCTTGAGTTGTTTTGTAAAGCTAAAACCATAGATGTCCTCAGGGGCTTCTTAGGTCTGGTAAGATTCTGCCCCTTTGCAGAATGGCCTGAGGCGACAGTGACATCCAGAGTCCTGTGCCTACTTTAAAATGTTCTTTCGTGTCTTCCTCCTGGGCAAACCTTCCACAGTTGCTCCTTTAAGCTCCCTTCTATAGAAAATGCAGTACAGAAAGGACAGAAAAGCAAGCTGGATTCAGAAACCTTTGAGTCCCCTGATTTATTAGATGCCAATTTCTAAACATAAACAACAGATGCCACAGGCGCCTTAGCATTTACCTGTTTGTACCTGAAAGTGTTTTTGTCTCACCTGGATCACCTTCCACGTGACTCCAGTATCAGCCAGACCTGGCTACTCCATGCACCCTGAATAGACTTCATGCTTGCTCCTCTCTGGGTCTTTGCTTAAGCTATTGCTTGGTCCTCCTGGTCAAAATTCTGTTCAGATCTCAAGGCCCATTAGTATTGCTATTGTCTTGATGCTTTCTCCTATCTGCCCCCCTCCTCACCGCCACCAGAAACAAATGTCTCCTCCGAAACCTTCTGTTCGTTACAGGAAATAACACAGTCTGTCTGTATTTGAGTTACCTACATACATGTCTTATCTCCCACAGTGGACAATACATTTCTCCAAGGTGGCCATCCCATCATCTCTCTGTGACCCCTCCATCTTCCTCCCAGTCTCCAGCTCAGTACTTTGCCCTTCATTGAAGTGTAACATGCATCAGGGTAGGAGAATTTTGGTTTACAACAACAGACTGGATGTCTTTGGATGGGTGGATAAATGAAAGATCAGAATCACTCGAAGGGCTTGTGAAAACAGATCGCTGGAGCCCACCTCCAAATATTCAGATTCAGGTGGTCTTGGGTGGGGGCCGAGAATTTGCATTTCCAACAAACTCATGGGGATGCTCATGCTGCTATTCCAGGGACTATCATCTGGGAACCACTGATTCAGTGGATTTATTTCCTAGGATTCTCACACTAACCTCATCGGGTCATACCACTGTTTTTAGTAGACCGTCTAATTGATCTATATCCCTTGAGGCGAAGGCCCAAAAGAATAAATAAATAAAAATACCTTCCATCCAACTATGATGCAATCCACCCCATGTACCAACTTTCCTATTTTGCAAGCTTATGGGTTAAACTGTGGCTCAGAAGCTTGCAGCCCATTAGTGAGCTTTAGCTAGAGGGGACCGTTTGCCCCAGGAGTAGAGCCGGAGTCATTTTCTGTTACAGCAGCAGGATAGAGAGCCCTTGAGTTTGTGCCTGTGGACCCGGCTTACCCGGTGGGTGAAGGCCGGTCCACGTGGTTCCGCACCGGCCAACAGTGCTTCTTGGTGCTCTGAGGTCTCTCCTTTATTCGCACAGGTGTTTCAGCGGCAACCATAGTAAAATAAAGCAATCTCACAAATGTTTCAATAGCAGTTGTAGTAACAGAAGATAATCTCACAGTGTCTCTGGCCTGCGTTTTCACATCTCTGGGTCCTTTTGTGCCCTGTGAGTCAGTTTCAAGAATACTCCATCGTGAAAGACCCGGTGTTTCAATAAACTTTCCAAGCAACAAAGAGGTGCTGTTGCAATCGGCGCTGTCACTGAAGTGTGGCATCTTGTAGAGCCCGGCCAGAGATGGCCTTCACTGTGGCTGAGAGGGTCCTCGCTCCTCCTCTGCTCTAACCCCATCTTCCTTCTGCTCCTCTCCACCAGCCATTAGAAGCATCATCTCCCGGAAGACCGCGGTTCTGGTGACAATGGAGGCTTCTCTGTCCTTCCCGTGACTGGAGCAATGCTGACCTCGGTTTCCTGGACCCATTCTGACTCAGGTAACCACGGTCGGTCTTCACCAGCTCGCTTACACCTCACAGCGACTGCACGGAATAAATGAAATACCAACGCTATTCCACATGTACATGCAGATGCCAAATTGATCGTCTACATCAATTGGTATCCGCCCCTCTTCCTCCCAATCTTCTTAATGATCAAATTATGCAGCTGATCAGACTGGCAATGTGGTCAATCCAATGTAGGCATTAAGATAATGAAAACGTCGAATCACATCTTCATTTGAAGTTTGGGTGCGTTCCATAGGCACACAAAGTGAAGGGAACCTTGCTGGGAATTTTTCATGTGGAAACTGGATTCTACCGTACTTCCTCTGAATCATTTTCTTTCTCATCCGACCACATACTAGTATTACTCGAATTAATCTTTCTTATGTTATACCTTTTAATGGAGGTCGTGAATATTACTGAGTATGGGTTATGTGTTCTCGGGTCAGATGGGGCTAAAATATGTGTTCCTGGGACAGGCGTGGGGCTCACAGTTTAGCCACAGACCCAGGGCCCACCCACTCATGAGAGGGTGGCAGATGGTGTTGCATGTGGGGCTGGGGCTGGGGCTGGGGCTGGGCAGTGATGGTAGCTCTCTGGTTCAGGGAATTGAGAGACTTTTAGGACTGGAACTGAAATAACTAGGGAGGAATCCATGGAAGAGGGAGGGCGTGGGCTGGGCTTTATCACTGTGGGTCATTAGGCCAGGAGGCGGGGAGAGGAGCAGCTTGGCGCCTGGGTGGGAAGATGGGAATGAGCCCGCAGTGAGCCCAGGTAACGGGGGCCCTGGCTGCCTGGAATAGGACCCTGATTCTCACCTGCCCCGTTACGGTGTGGCCTTGGCTGGCAGCTTCCTTCAGGGACAGCGGTCATTGTCACTGCAGCCCTGGCTTTGGCTGCCACTCTGCTGGCCTTTTCTGCTCCTTTGGGTTTGTCCACACCCGGCTTCTCCCTGTCTACCTGCTTATTGACTCTTCTCTTACACACCTGCACCCCTTCCCTCCAAGCTCTGCCTGGCAGGTGTGGCTTGAAAAGGCTTTGGGATGAACCAGGGATCGTGTGAGGTCAGTACCTGGTGATTCACAAGGTGCTATTCTGGGCTGAGGAGTGGAATTGACAGGTAGGGAGCATCAGCCCAGGACACGTGTTTATAAGTTGATGCCGAGAGTGTATCTAGAGAGTTCCGAAAGCCGGAAGTCAGGGGAGTCTCAGGGCTGCGTGAGGGACCACAGTCAGGGATGGGGAGCACATGCCCTGATTAGCCCCGAGATGGCCAGGTACATGCTGCCCACGCCTGGCTCTTTTCCAGGGTTGCTCTTGGATAAAGCAGTGGCGGCTTTCGCTGGCCTGGGTCTTGAGGATAGTGCTGAGAGTTGTCTTCTGAGGCACCTGCTCTTCCTGTCAGGCCACAGTCCACTGTCCCGCACGCTCAGGTGCTCCTGCAGCTGAGTCCCGCTGACCCCGGAGCTTGGGCCTTCCTGGAGGCAGAGCCTGGATCGCAGCCACGAGTGTGTCTGCCTGTAGCCAGTGTTATGAGGTTCCAAGCTTCCTCCGTGTTGTGACACCTACATCTTCAAACACGGCTTCCTGGCTGCTGCAATGTGTGTGGGGGGAAAAGTTGAGAACACACACTCATTCTTAACTGCCGTAGCCTGGAAATGACCCAAACCAGCTTTACATCCACAGCCCATTGGCCAGAATTAGTCACATGACCCTGCCTTGCTTCCCCGAGGCTGGGAAGTAGGGCAGAGCAGAGGATTGTCCCTGTAATACTGTGTCACCGGGGGAAACCCCATACTTTTTCTATGCTTGCCACGTGTTTGGTCATTATTAAAGGGTCAGGAACCCAGCCCTATAATTTTTTCACATAGTTTATTATATTAAAAAAGATTTTTTTTATTTCAGAAAGGAAAGGAGAGGGAGAGATAGAAACATCAATGATGAGAGAGAATCATTGTTCTCCTGCCTCCTGCATGCTCCCGACTGGGGATCGAGCCCACAACCCAGGCATGTGCCCTGATTGGGAATGGAACCATGACCTTCTGATTCCTAGGTCAATGCTCAACCATTGAGCCATACCAGCTGGTCTACATAGTTTATTAAAGGTGCAAATAAGATGTATGAAGGCGCTTTGAAAGGTATCATGAGTTGTAAAATATCTTAAGATACAGTTGTTACTTAATTTCTTTATCACATCTTGAATGGCAGTGGGCTAGCGTCTGGGTAGTCACACACGCCCGGGACTGTCCTAGCATTCGCCAGTTAACCCAACATAATTATCATACAATCCTCCCTTTCACACCCAGAAACATCTGGGTGTAGACTGTAGATTATGTGATCACCCCAGTTTGACCCCACTGGTCATCTTTTGAGATTATTACCTCCTGTTTACTAAGCTTTTTCTAAGTGTCAGACACCGTTCTAAGCTTTTGCCTCCGTTGCTTCATTCAATTTCCAAACTTGTGAGGTAGGTATGAATAGTCTCAGACTAGAGGCCCGGTGCACAAAATTCCTGCATGGGTAGGGTCCCTAGGCCTGTCCTGCAATCAGGGCTGATCAGGTTCCCCACCTCCCGCCTCCTCCTTCCCTGGCTCCCTCAGCACCCTGCCGCCACCACCACCACTGGTCGCCACCATGTTCCACGCCGTCCCCTTGTGGTCAGCGCATGTCATAGCAAGCGATCGAACTACCCGTCTCTCTGTCAAACTCTCAAGGGGGCACTTTGCATATTAGCCTTTTATTATATAGGGTAACACTATAGATTCTTGTAACTACGGATAATGAGGTAACGGAGGCAGAAAGAGTTGAGTTGTTCACGATCACACGGCTCTCCGGGGACAGCACTCAGTTCTGATTCCAGGCCTGACGCTGTGCTCGCAGGCACGAGGTTGAGCCCTTGGCCCCGTGGGGCCCGCACTTTCCTGACACAGGCTTGGGACTCTGTTCCCAGGCCACAAGCTGGGGGAAGGATGCAGCCCTGAGCGGTGAGTTCAGCCTCTTAGGACCCAGACAAGCAGCGAAGATACCAGATGCCCCCCATGCATCTCCAGAACCGGAAAGGAGCAGGACCAGGGCTGTAGTGTGTCTCCTGAGTTCCCTCCAGTCCCTTTCTGTCCCCACTCCCCTGCTGTTGACGGTGTGGCTGGCTTTAAAACGGCATGCGTTTTGCATAGGGAGAAAAGACCGCATTTAGAAATCTTGGGTGGAGTCGAACTCTAGCCAGTGAAGACTTGCCATGTGCTATGCAGCTGGTCCAAACAGGCACCCTCCCAACACAAACAGCTAGGAAAAACCAGGCTCTGTTTTCAGGAAGTTTATGTACAAATTTGTTTATTTAAAAAAAAAAAAAAGCCGCACCACAACCAAAGACCAGTTTTTGCTTGCAGAATAATATCAAACAAAAACCCATCGACTCACAAGCTGGTATTAATTTCCCTGGTTCCTGACCTTCCTAATCAGTGTTCAAAACCAAACCCATGGAATCAAAGGGAACAGTCTCTGAAAATGAACCAAATGTGGCAGACTCATCGATTGCATTGCTTGCTTCACGAACTCATCCCCTCCCTAGAAAATTATAGATGTGCGCTTTCTAAATGTACAAAGAAAACAAAAACAAAAAAAATTCCACTATGAAAGAAAAAGGAAATTTCTAATTCTATCTCATAAACAATATAGGAATAACTTTAAAATATTCTGCTTTAAGCATGCATTTAATTTGTGCTCTGGGAACCAAATAATGTTGCTAAGATAAAGCATTCTAATAATGATTTATGTAAATTTATTTGTACAATGTAATGGTGTAGTTGCCTATAGCAAATTGCTTGGAATATGAAATGACATTTACGAGGTCTTTTTTGTCCCCTGAATGAATGCAATGAAGGAAATGAGAGACTCTAGGAAGCGGGGCGGCGGGGGCGGGGGGAATCCATGTCAATATGGAGTCTGATGCATCCAGAGGCAGAGTCAGCTGGACAGGGTAGAGGGTATGTAAGTAGCCAACAAACGCAATTCCATATGTTTTCCTGTGATGCTCTCATTATTTAAGCCATTTTAAAAGCCACACACACACACACACACACACACACACACACTCACACACACACACACACAGAATGGGAATTTGAGATTCTTAGAAGGCTAGAACTCTTTATCTTAGGAATCCTAAACTTCTCAGACACCAAAGCTCTTTTAAAAAAAAATTATATATATATTTCATTTCAGAGAGGACGGGAGAGGAAGAGAGAAACATTGAGCCCACAACCGGGGCATGTGACCTGACGGGGAATCCAACCTTGACCTACTGCTTCATAGGTCGACACTCAACCACTGAGCCACGCCAGCCAGGCTTTCAGACTAGCCAGTGACAGAGCATCGTTCTCACGGTGCCCCGACAGATGGGGCACTTGCAACATGGGGTACACAGAGGCCAAATGCAATTAAAAACTGGGCAGGTCATCTCAGTTCCCAGTTCCTTCAACGCCAAGGAAGTTATGCTTGAGTCATCCATGGGACCCAAATGTTAAACACAAAACAAAAAAGTCTCCCAAGGACTGATTCATAGGCCCACGGGGGTTTTTCCGATTGGCTGCCCGGTTAGAACCTTTGCTAAGGGCTCTAGGTGTTTCTGGGAAGCGTTTGAATTCAGTGGAAATCCCCATATATGTAACCGAGTTTCTGGACCCAACCAAGCTTGGCCTTGTCGGTGCCCGGTATTTGCCGTAACCTGTGCTGTTTGGAAAAAATGTGGTGTTCACACCTTCGTTGCGGAAGGCATCAATTTTTTCTCAAAGTATTTTTACTATCTCACTTGGCCACTGGGGTTATGTTCACGTGGTAGGCTGAGAGTTGGTATTCTACATACAGGGAGACCGGGGGCCACAAAAGTGACAAAGGGAGACATCGACAGAATCGGGGAGCAGCTCCCATGATGATGTTAGTCCCACTGTCCTCACAAACTGAAGCAGGTGAAAGAAACGTGTGAGCTCTGAAGAGCT